CCAATAAAAAAATCGTGAGCCCCCCATTATGAGGAGGTTGTACAGCGAAACCCAAACAAAATAAGTTATTCCCAAACTTTAGATAGGCTTAGGAATCTAAAAATTCTTGCCTAGCAATCCAATAATTTTCAAAATACATTTTTTTCTCTCATCTTTTCAACTATATATTTTTCAATAAAATAATATTATATGCAAATTTGAAACTCTTTTTTTTTTTCATTTTTTTAATTACATATTCTTCATCAATCTATTATTCTAAAATTCATTCTCCGAATAAAAATGGGGCACAAACAGGCACCAAGTAAAAGTTGGATTAGATCAGAAAAACATTAATTGTCTATTTTTACAGTATAAAATAAGGGATGTTTTCTTTAAAGTTTAAATACGAGAAAAGCAAGTTATTAAAATAAGGGATGTTTGGTAGAGATTAAAATTCGATTTTTAGCAGATTTTGATAAAAGTTAATTGAATATATAGTTGAAAAACTATAGATTTTCTGAAATGTGTGGTTAAAATTAATTATTGATTCGACTTAAATTTTAATCAAAATTTTAAGCGATAACAAAGATGGACTAAATATGTTTGAAAGAAAAATTACATAGAATCAGGCATTTAAATTTACAAATTCAAAAATGAGATCTAAACTTTATTTAATAAAAAATCAGGTATTACATAATAATTATATATTAAATGTTTTCACTCAATTCAATTACAAACCCTAATTTTATTTCATTCTTATCACTCTCCCTTCCCATCTTCTTCATTTCCTTCTCATGCATTCCTCTTTGTCAAATGTCGTCGTCGCCATCGTCAGAGCACCCGTCGCGGGAATCATGCCTTCGCCAACACTTAAGCAGCGCCGCGCTGCTTAATGAAGAGATCGGAGCCTCTGTGCACGGAAGTGCATGGGCGGCGATCTGAAATCTTCTCCAATTTGTGGCATTTCTCTGACGATTTTTTGTGGCCCATGGTTTTCGTGGTAGCGACGGTGGTACGGCTTGGAGATGACGACGCTATGAGCTCTGCTTGATTTCTTTTTTTTTT